AAGAAAAGGGGGACAGGGGTTATTTAGTTCACAATTCTAGAGATTCAAGTACACAGAACTGACTGCTGGTGAAGATCAAACAGTGAGCAACAAAAAAATGTTGGGAACCAGTCCTTTGTACAGAACACATTAGGCATTTGAGAAGCTGTCAGACTTTCAGCTGGAAATGTCTCATCATCTAGGGAAGCAAGCTATAGCTGATGGTGAAATTTAGGATACAGGATGAGATCACAAGACAAGAAATGTAAATAGATGAATGCAGACTGAGTCTTGCAGTATATCCCAGTGCAGACAAGTTAATACAGGAGGAGGAGGAGCTGCCATGGAGAAAGGCACACTACTAGGGGAGGGTTAAGATAAGAATGTTATCCAAGATTGTCTTTAGTTTTAATGTAAAATTAAAAAGTTAATAAAGAAAAAAAGGTAAGACTTGTTGCTTCTAAATGGTCAGACATCAAATGTTCTAGCACATTTTATTGAGGAACCAAAAGTCTCTCTAGGCAAATAAAAGATTTAGAAGATAATATAATAGTAATAATAATAATAATGAACTTCTTGTCTTCCTTCTTCTGCTAGTCTACTTAAAAATTTCCAAGGACAGAAGCTCATCAGTATTCAAAATGTCTTGAAATCCTTTGCCTTTCCTGAAGTGGTCCAGCTCAAGCACTGCAGAATCACTCTCAGTATTTCAGAGTATTAAAGCTTCAGAGTCAGACTGATCTCATCTACTGCATTATTTTCATTCTACACATGAGAAACAGGCTCACCCAGCAAGAGATAAATGGAAGGTGATTTGCTCAGGTCATCAAGCTTGATTCCAAGAGCTCTCCCTATTGCTTGACTCCACTACTACCACCCCTACTCATCTGACACAAACCACTGTGCATGTTGCAGCCTGCAATGGTCATGGACTTTTGTATTGTGAGTTTCTGATGCTTCTCTCAGTCTATACACTACCTACACCTAGTGGCAGGAACATGACTTGAATATACAGAGAATTGGCCTAACCTTTAAAATAATATATAGCCCATCACAAAATTCCTTACCAACATTTCCTTATTCACAAAGTAAAACACTGTTGCTTAGCATTGATCTTTTAATATTATATTAAATATAATTCATCTGAATTATGGATTTGGAGGTATTCCTTTAAGGTTTGCAACCAAGGCAAATTCCCAGGCAGGAAATTGAGGTTTGGGGAAGTTAAGAAGGTGGCCTAATATCACACACAATACAAAAGATGCAAATCAGGATTCTACTCCAGTGCCTGAATTGTGGTTTTGTTAAAGACTCCAAGCCTCCTACATCTAGGAAGACATGCTGGCCAGAGGTATAACCTGTAGAAACCACATCTAGACGTTAGGAAAGGCTCCTGGTTGGTGGATGGAGCCAGATAATCACATGAAAAATTTTAAACCAAAATTGTTCTGTTCTAAAGAAAATACTGGGACAAAGTTTGGAGCAGAGACTGAAGGAAAAGCCATCCAGAGACTGCCCCACATGGAGATCTATCCCATGTGAAGACACCAAACCCAGACACTATTGCAGATGCCAAGAAGTGCCTACTGACAGGAACCTGATATAGGTGTTTCCTGAGAGGATCTGCCAGAGCCTGACAAGTACAGAAGCCAATGATAGGTGCCAACCATTGGACTGAGTGCAGGGGTCTCAATGGAAGAGTTAGAGAAAGGACTGAAGAGCTGAAGGGGTTTGCATCCCCATAAGAATAACAACAGTATCAACCAACCAGAGGCCCCAGAGCTCCCAGGGACTAAACCACCAACCAAAGAGTACAAATGGAGGGAACCATGACTTCAGGCCCATATGTAGCAGAGGATAGCATTGTCTGGTCCTGTGAAGGCGTGATGCCCCAATGTAGGGGAATGCCAGGGTGGGGAGGCAGGAGTGAGTGGGTGGGTGGGGAAGCAGGGATGGAATAGGGGGTTTCCGCAGGAGAACCGAGTAAAGGAAATAACATTTGAAATATAAATAAATGAAATAGCCAATAATTTTTTAAAATCATACAATCACTTAATTAATAAAAATTACAGTATGTAAATGAGTAGAAACGATGGGATGACTATACAGAAAGAGCAAACAGTATGTACTGTTGAAGAACTGCAACCGGATACAGAAACTAAAGGCTACGGTATGGAATATCCTGAGGAAACCATGCATATACGTGATTCAGCCGTGCATATGCTAGGTACATTCCTGAACAAATCTAAGTCATCATTAAATACATACACACCCTCATCCCTATTTATTGCTTCACTATTCACAAAAATAAGAATTTAAATAAACCTACTGGCTATCAACAGAGGAATGGGTAATAGAAATGGTACATATGTGCAAGGAATATTACTCAGCCATAATAAAAATAAAAATCACATATATGTGTCAAATTTTATTCTGTGACTCACTATATGGATTTATTTCAGAAAACACTCACTGTGCATTTGAATACAGTTTTTCTTTTGTTGGTTTGAGGATAGAGCTCAACCAATTTCTCCTGGGCCAGACTGAAAACTAGTATTCTTGAAATCTTCTACACCTGCCCTTAGTCAGGGTTTCTATTCCTGCACAAAATTATGAGCAAGAAGCAAGTTGGAAGGAAAGGGTTTATTCAGCTTACACTTTCCACATTGCTGTTCATCACCAAAGGAAGTCAGGACTGGAACTCAAGCAGGTCAGGAAGCAGGAGCTGATGCAGAGGCTTTTGAGGGATGTTACTGGTTTACTTCCTCTGCCCTGCTCACCTTGCTTTCTTATACAACCCATTATTACCAGCCCAGAAATGGCACCACCCACAATGGGCCCATTCCCCTTGATCACTAATTGAGACAATGCCTTAAAGTTGGACCTCATATAGGCATTCCCTCAATGAAGATCTTTTCTCTGTGATAACTCCAGCCTGTGTCAAGTTGACACACAAAATCACCCAGTACAATACCATGTTCTTACTGCACTTACCATCAGTAACAGGGAAAACAACTGAATAGGGTGTATGAGGCTTCAATACTGGCACATGAGTGGTTGAGTTAGGACATTTGCAAACTGAAGTAATCTTGAGAAACTAGTGAGGCCATATTTCAAAATTTTAAAATGTGAAGTTGTGGAACATGCACACTGTCTTTGGAAGGAGATTCTTTGCATAGCTAGATGAGAATGCAGCCTTGACGGTAACCAGTAAGACTCTGAGGAGACAACCCAGACAAACTCCACCCAGTTTAAAGGTGTTATAATTGTAAGTCACCATATTTGTGTGGTTCAAAACTTGCTTGGGGTGTGGGCGTGGGTGTGGTTGCACGCCTTGGTCACAGCTGAGGCAGTCCTCAGAGCCTCAACTCAGGCCTCCCGTGCACTACAGCAGCAGTCCCAGCTGATCTCACTGTTGCGCGGGTCAGGGCACATCCGTGCCCCTCGACTGACTCCAGACGGCTGGGCCTGGGAGAGCAGGGACCCAGAGTGCCAGCGGGTCTTCAGTCAGACGAGATGACTGGGAGAAGGCAGCTTGGCAGGTTCCAGGAAGTGGCGCTGTCTCTGCATCAGCTTGTCTCTGTTGGATCTGTGGGTATAATCACAGGGAAGCAGCATCTCCAGCGGGGAGATGTCTGGAAAGCCTGGATATCAAGCATTAAATCACTCCTGGAAAGGCAAAGGTGTTTGAGGAAATTGGGTGGCTGAAGGAGAAAACATTGTGTTAATAGTATCTGGGATAGGCAGCTACAGTTTGTCTGTGAAGGGAAATTAGTTGTTAATTAAAAGTTGAAAGATGGTCATCAGCATGTTGATTTAACCTGTGGAAGTAAATTTAGATGATCTTCTTAAAAGTAGGAAGGTCTCATAACCACTGAGACATTTATCCAGCCCCAAACTCATTTTTGTATCTCATAAAAACAATATAGGACTCGAGAGATGGCTCAGTAGTTAAGAGCACTGACTTCTCTTTCTGAGGTCCTGAGTTCAATTCTCAGCAACCATATCATGGCTCAAAACTATCTATAAATGGATTCAATGTCCTCTCTGTGTGTCTGAAGACAGCTACAAAGTACAGTGCAGTGTAAAGTATGGTGCAGTTTTTATCATGATTGCTCTATAATACATCCTGAGGCCAGGGATGATGATTACCCTAGAAATTCTTTTATTGTTGAGAATAGTTTTCACTATTCTGAGTTTTTGGATATTCCAAATAGCTCTTCCTAACTCTATGAAGAATTGAGTTGGAATTTTCATGGTGACTGCATTGAATCTGTAAATTGATTGTGGCAAGATTGATTTTGAATATATTAATCCTGCCAATCCATGAGCATGGGAGATCTTTCCATCTTCTGAGATATTCAGAATTCTTTATTCAGAGACTTGGATTTCTTGTCATACAGATGTTTCACTTGCTTAGATAGAGTCACACCAAAGTATTTTACATTATTTGTAACAATTATGAAGGGTGTCATTTCCCTAATTTCCTTCTAACCTGTTTATCCTTTGAGTAGAGAAAGACTACTGATCTGTTTAATTTTGTATCCAGCTACTTAGCTAAAGTTGTTTATCAGGTTTAGGAGTTCTCTGGTGGAAATTTTGAGGTCATTTAAGTATACTATCATATCATCTGCAAATAGTGATATTTTTACTTTTTCCTTTCCAATTTATATCCCTTTGATCTCCTTTTGTTGTCTAATTGCTCTGGATAGGATGTTGAGTACTGTGTTGAATAGGTAGGGAGAGAGTGGGCACCTTTGTCTAGTCCCTGATTTTAGTAGGATTGCTTCAAGTTTCTCTCCATTTAGTTTGATGTTGGCTACTGGTTTGCCGTATATTGCTTTTACTATATTTATGTATGTGTCTTGAAATCCTAATTTTTCCAAGACTTTCACCATGAAGGGGTATTGAATTTTGTCAAATGCTTTTTCAGCATGTAATGAGATGATCATGTGAATTTTTTCTTTGAGATGGTTTGTATAGTCAAATACGTTGATGGATTTCCTTATATTGAACCATTCCTGCATCCCTGTGATGAAGCCTACTTGATCATGGTAAGTGATCATTTTGATGTGTTCTTGGATTTAAATTGCAAGAATTTTACTGAGTATTTTTGTATCAATAGTCACAAGGGAATTTGGTCTGAGATTCTCTTTCTTTGTTGGGTCTTTGTGTGGTTTAGGTATAAACGTAATCGTGACTTTATAGAATGAATTAGGTAGTGTTCCTTCTGTTTCTATTTTGTGGAATAGTTTCACTAAATTATAAAAAAAAAAAAGTCTTTAATTTCTTTATTTATTTCATCCCTGACCAAATTATCATTGAGTAGAGACTTGTTCAGCTTCCATGTGTTTGTGAGTTTTCTGTTGTTTTTATTGTTCTTGAAGACCACCAGACTTAGTCAATGAAGGCAGGGCACATTGGCCAAAGACTACTGGCAGATGCCTGGGAATGAAGGCCTAAAGCTTCTCAGAAGCACATCAGGTTAGAGAGGCCGAAAAAGGCCAAGCTAGGAGCCTTGACCTAGCTAAAGAGCTGATGCAGTACTAACACAGCAGGAGGTACAAACTAAAGAGTCCCAAGAGGCTAAACTGATAAGATAATGAGTTTAAAGAACAAGAAATGAGAAGGGATGCTAATTAGTAAAAATCACAGAGAGAAACAATTAAATATAAGAGAAAAAAGTCCTGATTCCTTCTGGTTTGCTTGCGTGAACCAGGAGCGAACCCTGATCTCTGGCTCTCCACACACTTCACCCACACACATAGGAAGCTTGACCTCTGGGATGTCAGGCGAGTCCACAACCCATGACCCAATAATTAGCGTAACTCACCCCCCCCCCAGGACATAGGGGTCTAAAGGGACCCAGGAAAAAGGACACTGTCAATAGGACAAAACAGCAACACACATATTGGGAAAAGATCTTTACTAATCCTACATCCGATAGAGAGTTAATATCCAAATTATTCAAAGAACTCAAGACGTTAGAGACCAGAGAACCAAATATCCCTATTAAAAATCAGTTACAGAGCTACATAAAGAATTCTCAACTGAGGAATATCTAAAGGCCAAGAAGCACCTAAAATATGTTCAACACCCTTAGTCATCAGGGAAATGCAAATCAAAACAAACCTGGGCTTCCACTTCACACCAGTCAGAATGGCTAAGATCAAGAACTCAGGTGATAGCAGAAGCTAGTGAGAATGTAGAGAAAGAGGAACACTCTACCATTGCTGGTGGGATTTCAAACTGGTAAAACCACTTTGGAAATCAATCTGGCACTTCCTGAGAAAATTGGAAATAGATCTACCTGAAGACCCAGCTATATACTAGTGGACATATACCCAAAAGATGCTCCAACATATAGCATGGACACATGCTCCACTATGTTTATAGCAGCCTTATTTTTAATAGCCAGAAGCTAGAAAGAACCCAGATCTCCTTCAACAGACGAATGCATACAGAAAATGTGGCATATTTACACAATGGAATACTACTCAGTTCTTAAAACTATGACTTCATGAAATTCACAGGCAAATCAGTGGAACAGAAAATATTATCCTGAGTGAGGGAACCAAGACAAAAATGAGCACATATTTTTCATACTGACTGATATGTAGATATTAGTCCAAAAACTCAGAATGCAACCCACAACCATATGGAGTTTAAAGAGAAGAAAGACAAAAATGTAGATGTTACAATCTTACATAGAAAGGGGAACAAAACAATCACAGGAGGTAGAGGGACAGAGATACCTGTGAGGGAGAGAGGGAAGGATAAAAGGTGGGCAGGATCAGGTATTGGAAAAGAGAGAAGTACAGAGGATTAGGAAATTGGTTAATAACATGCAGTATGGGGGATGGGGAAATGGGGGTAGCCACTAGGAAGTTCCAGACTCCAGAGAAATGAGAGTCTCCTAGGCTACAATAGTTATCACTTTAGCCAAAATAATCAACAAAGGGGAGATACAACCTATTGAAACCACCACTAGTAGATCACCATGGACCCTAGTTGAGGGTTGGGTCCACTCATACATCTCAAAATTTTTAACCCAGAAATGTTCCTGTCCAAAGGAAAGACAGATGAGCACACCCCAAATGCAGACACTAATCCCGTATACTATTGCTGACGCCAAGAAGTGGTTGCTGACAGGAGCCTAGTATAGATGTTCCCTGAGAGGTTCTACCAACACCTGACCAAAACTGATGCAAATACAGCCAACCATTGAACTGAGCCAGGTGACCCCAATAGAAAACCTAGGGGAAGGACTGAAGGAGCTAAAGAGGATTGGAACCCCATAGGAAGAACAGCATCAGCTAATTGGACCACCCAGAGCTCCCAGGGACTAAACCACCATCCAGCGAGTATACATGGAGGGATCCATGGCTCTAGATACATGTGTACAGAGAATGGCCTTATCTGACATCAATGGGAGAGGAAGCCCTTGGTTCTGTGGAGACTGATACCTCAGTGTAGGGGATGCTAGAGCAGTGATTCAGGAGTAGATGAGTGGATGGAGGAGCACTCTAATAGAGGCAAAGGGGAGGGAGGAGAGGGAAGCTGAGATGGGGGGGGGGTTGTGGAGGGTATCCAAGAATGGGGATATCATTTGAAATTTAAATGAATACAATGAGTAATTTTTTTTCTAATAAGACTAAATTTATTCAATACCCTAGAGTAAAAGTTTTGATTATAAGTATCCAACAGTATAAAAAGTACAAAACAGATCTGTAGATTTCTAATATATTAATACAAAGTGCATGACTACATACAGTACACCCTACAGGCAGAGAGTAGAGGGGAGAAGGCTGTGATTGAGGTCTAGTAATAAATAAATAAATACAGAAGTATAGATGATCCATCAAAGTATATTCTACCACCAATACTGCAGCCAAAATGTACAAAAAAAAAAAAAACCCATGTCAAAGTAATGCCGGAGAATGGTAATGGCTGGACTCTGTACTATACCAGGGATGTGGAGAAAGGACCCACTCATTGGGCAGTCTGTGTATGTGGTAGCTTGTACTAGGTAGTTTTTTTCCAAAAGGAAGAAATACACACTGTAAAACTATAGGATGCCACAAACTGTGGCTTCTCCTTGTTGTGAAACTCTAAAAGACTTAAAATCCAGTTTCTAAAATAATCACGAGGAACAGAATACTAAGGCAGCCACGGACACCTCCTCTATGAGGTCTCAAGTGGCACTACTGTTTTTCCTGAACTTTGAGAAGAGGCAATTAGACAACTTCAGTTGGGTTCCACTGAGAAGCCAATGGAATCATTGAGATCTAGAGGTGTGGTGCTCTATTCAGCTATCGTGTTGTTAAGAACACAACCCAACCAACCAACTTAGCCTCAACACACAACTCTTCTCTTCTAGTCAACTTTAAATAGTGGGAGGAAAACAATGAAACAACAAAACCCCAAACCCTAATAAGGTCTATGACAAGGCAAAGAACTACTCTATAGATAAAACTTCCACAAAGGTCAACTAAGGTAATCCAGAGCTAGAACTGAATCATGTGGACTTCAGTGAATCCCAGACAGTCGTGTTAACACAAATTATTTACATATTGTAAGCCCTCTAAGAAACGTGTCCCAACCAGCATCAACTATGTCCCATGCATCCCCAGGACTTACACATTCTGATTAAGTAGTTTCTAACCACATGTGTTCTCTACTTTGTGGTGATGCTTTGGTACTATCCCTATAGGACCTTGCCCATTCTAGAGGCAGGCCTTCTCTAGAAGATCTGGTTCTGTTTTACAAGATCGACATAGTCTTTTATCAATATGAAGATAAAGGGAGGCGACACGGTGCTACTTGTATGTTCAGAAATTGCTTCCTCCTTCAAGCTATTTGCAGAAAGCTCAGTCTGTCCTGCTTAATAATCAGTAGTACAGGTCTGAATCATCAGAACCTTGGCAATGCCTTAGCATTTAAAAATTTTTAACTACCTTCTAGGGGCAGGTCACGCTACTGAGTTATGACAAATTATCATGAGGGAAAACAAGTGTAGCCAGCCATTTAAAAATGCCCCAACCACTGCCTCCCCACAGAAAGGCTAAACTACATATGGTTTATCACACAACAAATCCCATCTCTTTCCCCTGAAACTCCCCTAGTTCCATTCATTAGAGGGGATTTTAAAAAAAAGACTTAAAGAGCACTTTACAGCAGCATTCAGTTTTCCTATGAAATACTCAGCATTTTAAATATTATGTACACTTCTTTTTCTTGCAGTAAGCTAGAGACTGGCTTCAGAGTTTGCTGGATGAAGGGTAAGGACAGTAACCCATTAAAAACTATTCTAGAAAATGTCTTTTGGCAGAATAGCAGGTATCCAAGTTAAAAATAGGAAGGTCAGTTTGTTTTGTCGTCTTTTCAAAGTTTAAACCACTCTTTGTTCCCTTCTAACACGAACCTCAGTCACCACTCCTGAGTGGAGATGGGCAGAGGTGCTGGCCCCTGCTCCTCGGGCTTCTCAGCAGCAGCTTTCTTACTGCTGCAGCAAGGCTTGAAGAGATGAGTATCGATGAGGACTTCCCCAAAACGGCCCTTATAGATGATTCCACAACATATTTTCTGTCTTTTCCAGTAGGTCAGATCTAAGAATGAAAAAACTGAAGTTCTATTAGAGCTGGAAGCCATTTCTGTATCTGAGCCCTCATCTGACTGGTTACTGTAGCAAGGAGACTGGGCTGGAGAGGCACTTGAGGTGGTGCTGTGAGCATCAGAATTGTGGCGTTTAAATTCCTTCTGCAGTTTACTGACCTGGTTGCTTTTCATCCTGTTTCCAGATAGAGTTTTCACTTTCTTTGGTTTCAGTGTTGTCTTTAGACTGGGGCCTGCTCTTGAATCTACCACATGATTCCAGTTTTGTTTTTTTTGTTTTGTTTTTTTTTTGTTTTGTTTTGTTTTTTTTTGATCCTGCCGGCAACTTCTTCCATCTTTTCACAAGCAGCACATAGGCGTGGCAAATGTCTCCTGAGCGAGTCTCATGCAACCCAAAACAGCTCTGGAAGTCCTTTTCATAACGCTTACTGTCCGTGAACCGAGAGCTGGAGGACTTGGCTCTGCATATACAGCAGCCCTCTATACTTCGGTACATCTTTGACTTGTGAAAACCAAACATCTTTTCTTCTGGTTGAAAGCTTCCACGCGCAGCAGCGTCCCCACGGTGCAAACTGCACCAAGCCAACCCCTTGCAAGCACTCCCTCCGCCAGCGCCAACTCCAGAAAGATCTACAATGAGTAATTTAAAAAGGAAAAAGGAAAGTGGGATATATATTTATTATCCAAAACTGATAAATTTATATTGCACAAAGTGAAATGGTAATAGTTTCATTATATTAGTTATTTGAAAGATTAAGCTAAATACCAAGTTATAAAGCTAAATTAAGAAAAATGCAGACATCATTGTTATAAATCAAAACTGAATTTTCAGGGACTAGATAGTAGCTCCTTTAAAAATATCACTAGCAACACCTCAGGATCCATCCCATATAAAGCTGTCAAACCCTGAACCTATTGTAGATGATGGGAAGTGCATGCTGACAGGAGCCTGATATGGTTGTCTACTGAGACGATTTTCTAGAGCCTGACAAATGCAGAAGCAGAGGCTCACAGCCAACCATTGGACTGGGCACAGAGTCCCTGATCGAAGAGTTAGAGAAGGGACTGAAGGAGCTGAGGAGGTTTTCAGCCCTTTGGGGGAAGCAACAGGGTCAATCGGTGTAACACACAGAGATCCTGGGGACTGGACTAACAACTAAAGCAAACACATGGAGGGACCTATGGCTCCACCAACATATGTGACAGAGAATGATCTTGTTAAACATCAATGGGAGTAGCTACCCTTTGTCTACTGTGGGGGTTCAATGCCACAGTGTAGGGGAATGGCAGGTCACAAAGGCAAGAGTGGGAGGGACCACCCTCATAGAGGCAGGGGGGAATGCGATAGGGGGGTTCTGGAAGGGAGACCCAGAAAAGGAATAACATTTGAAATGTAAATAAAGAAAATATCCAATAAAAGAAAAGAGAAAACACTAAACCCATTCTGAACTTCTTTAAACCTAAATTTAGACCAGTGGCCCTTTGAACCACACAGCACAATGAGAACTGTAGTGTGAACATTAGCTGGTAAAAGTTGACTTTTAGCCTTGTCCTGGTCTCATGATTATAATAACTCTGTGGTAATTGTCTTTGCAAACTACTACAGTAATTTTTATTTTCTCATCATATTCCAGTAACAGAAACAGACAATATTAGAAGCCTCATTTGATAGCCCTTCATCCTCTTAATCAATAGTAATATTTTTCAAAACACTTATTAATTACTTATATTATGTCCTTTGTGGGGCCTAGAGATAATCTAGAATGGACTGCATTGAGAAAGAGCTCATGGTCTTTGAGGGCAGACAGTGGAGACAAAACCTTCATGTGCAGTAGAGGCACAATGGGAACAAACCATCATGAGAAGACAGGAAACAGAACCATTCTTTTGAGGAGAAATATGGATATTTGGAGTTCTCAAACAACTATTTGTAACCCTGTTCTATCTCTGGGTTTCTAAATGATGCTCAAGGCTGGAGGTGATGGCCCATACCATTGATCACAGTGCTTAGGAAGAGGTAGGTGAAAATTTGTGAGATCAAAATCCATTTCCCAGTTTAACAGGGCATTATTCCTCTCAAAAACAAATAACAGGAACAACATATGTTTTCAACTAATTTTTGATTAATACATGTTTGAGATTAGTTAACATAATGTTCTTATTGAAGTACAATGTATTTACCTCAAAAAATAACAAACACTGTTAATCATTATTATAAGACAGAAAAACAAACTTGAGTGTCATGATACAAAGTCATATTTACCAATAATGTAGTGTAGGGTAGAATGAGTTATCACAGTCTCCACATTGGGAAAGTAGATGAGAAGACAGCAAAGGCAGATATGTCCTAGGAATAGGAAGCATGGATCAGATATGTTGTTTAAGAACTCATACGTCATGTTTTCTCTCATTTTTGTCTCCTAAATTTTTATAGATTCATAAAACCCTGTGTTCATGCATGTGTGTGAATGTGTGTGTGTGTTTGTATGTATTTGTGTGTGTGTGTGTGTGTGTGAGTGTGTGCGTGCTTTGAATGGGTACATATGTATGCCACATTAAAATAGGTGGAAGACTAGGGAAAGAAAGTGTGTTAGTTGGAAAGAAAGGCGGTGACAGAAAGGAGAAGCAAGAGGCATGAAGATTGTGAAAAATACATGATATAATTTTATATTGTTTTGAAAGTCAGCATTATACGAGTAAATAAGAATCTTAACCAGAAGAAGTGGAGGGATATTGCCAGGAGTCCAAAAGTGAGGTAGACTTCTCAGAGCTGAGCTAAGCAAAAGTCAAGCTGTCCTCTGCATCCTCCAGTGGGAATATAGCCTGACAGGCTCTTGATTTAGCCCATGGAGACTCACAGTGGAGCTTTTCACTCCAGAGTATAGGATATTCAATTTATCATGTTCAAAACACAGAATCTAAGAATAAGAAATAAAAAAGACACAAATATCTTTATTTCTTTTTTTCATAAGAACCTCCCAAGTCAAAGCATCTATTCACTAACTTTCTACCAAACTTTGCAACACTTTGACATAGCAGCTGCAGGCAGAAGGGGAAGTGTGTAGGTTACAGGATGTGTGGTGCAAGGAGCTGGTTAGAATCTCAGAGGAGGTTTGTGTAGGAGGCTGTAGCACTGTGGGAGAAGAGCTGCTATACTGCTGACAGAAATAAATGGCTGGGTCTTCAGCCTGCACACTGCTGATGGTGAGAGTAAAATCTGTCCCAGATCCACTGCCTGTGAAGCGATCAGGGACCCCAGTGTGCCGGGTGGATGCCCCGTAGATCAGAAGTTTAGGCGACTGCCCCGGTTTCTGTTGGTACCAGGCTACATTACTATACACATTCTGACTGGCCTTGCAGGTCAGGGAGATTCTGTCTCCTATTGATGTAGGTATGGATTTGGGAGACTGGGTCATCACAATGTCTCCATCAGCACCTGCAATCAGAAATAGATAATGAGTATACATGTGTACACACAAAGACTTCATGATACAAATGTTATAATCTAAAATGTCCTTTCTATTGGCATTGTCTGCTTACTATTGACATCCTATAGGAAATCGCTATTTCTCTACAAATGAATTATTTTAAGATATAACATTTTTAAATGTCTCACCAGACAACCAGAGCAATAGGAATATGAAGACCTGAGTCTGTGACTCCATCTTGTTGCCCATGCTGGTCAGATGCATTTCATATCTCACTGCAAAGGCCTGGTTTATAAATCATGTCAGCTAGGCTGCCCTCTAGGGACCTATGCAAAGTAGTCATCAAATAAGGAAGTAAATTGCCTGGACACAGGTGTGTGAGAGTAGTCAGGACAAATCAACAGCCAAAAGTACTATCAAAGACAGGAAATAATCACTGGGAAGGAAGTCAACATAGAAGCTTTAGGACCAACTTAAAGCTCTCAAACCACAAGTGTCTAGATGTTCTCATGACAGACTCCCATTAAAAATCAATAGTTTATGTTTGGGGTTATATATATATATATATATATATATATATATATATATATATATATGTGTGTGTGTGTGTGTGTATGTGTGTGTGTGAGTGTGTTTGTGTGTGTGTGTGTCTATACATATATATGTTTGTATACATTTGTATAAAATGTGAATATATATATAAAAATGATGATTACACTGTAGCTGTCTTCTAACACACCAGGGTACTTGATCCTATTTCAGATTGTTGTTTGCCATTATATGGTATCTTGGAATTTAACTCAGGACTTCGGAAGTGCAGTCAGTGCTCTTAACCACTGAGCCATCTCTCCAGACCTAACAGATGAGTTTTACAGAAATACTAGTAAAAATAACTTTGATTAAATCCTGAGAAAAACTAAATCCTGTGCAACATCAACAAAATAAATAAGGACAGTGGAAAAGAAGAAAGAAAAGAAAGAAGGGATAGGGGAATGGGAGAAAAGAGGAAAGAAAGAAAGAGAGAGAGAAAGAAAGAAAGAAAGAAAGAAAGAAAGAAAGAAAGAAAGAAGAGAATGTAGAAGAAAAGAAGGAATATTGAATCAGGGAGGTAAAAGATAGGTAGAAAGGAGAGAAGAAATGGAGAAAATGAAAAAAGAAAAATATTTTTAAAAGAAAGTTTTGGGGTGGAGACTCAACTCAGTAGTTAAGAGAACTTGCTTCTCTAATAAAAGACTCAGAATTGATTCATTCTCAGCATTCTCATGGTTCTCAGTGATTTATGATGCTAGTTAAGCACACACATGGTACACATGGTACATGTACATACAGGTATATACATATACACATACATACATACATACATACATACATACATACATACATACATGCAGTTGAAATGATACGTGAGCTTCTACTCCAGCTACCAAGTCTTTCACCTGCTGCCTTCATTCTACTTTCATACAGTCTAACTCTCTGGAATTCCAAATTAACCCTTTCTTAATAAGTCGCTTAGCTCATGGTGTTTATCACACCAATAGAAAAGTAACTAATAAAAAAGGATAATCCACCAGGGGATATTATACCTGTAGGAAGATATACACAAAACATAAACAATTGTATGTGTTCTACAATGTTGTAATGACCGACTGATCAATGGACTCCAAACCGAGTTGGTCAATTTGCTTTTAAGGAATACATTAGCATTAGTTAACATATTATTTACATGGGGCCATGGATTTCCCCTTAATAAATATTAAATTTAGTCATAAATGTGAGTTAAAACCCTGGAAGGCACAGACTATCAACACAAAATCATACTTATTTAGTATGGTGTGAGGTTTCTGGGTCTTCACATTCAAGAGCAGATGAGGAGAGTTCAGAGTGATGTGTGACCCATGATGAAGAAGCAGGAAATGTACAAATGACTAAGAAACAAAACTATTACATGAAACATCTCATTCATAAATCTTGGATTTTTAGGCATAATTATATAAATATAAAAACAATTGTAGTGTGTGTGTGTATAAGGAAATCTAAGAGTAGGAAGAAAACTTGTGGGAAACAAAACATGGAACAGAAAGAGAAGGGTAAGTGATGTGTCTTAGTTAGGATTACTATGGCTATGATGAAATATCATAACCAAAGATGGAAGAATATATTCTTCTTGCACTTCCAGATAACATTGATTCCCAGATCACTGAGGGAAGTCAGCAAGAACTTTAACAGAGCAGGAACTCAGAGGAGGGAGCTGACCAGAAATCATGGAGGAGTGCTGCTTACTGGCT